CAAGAGGTGGTGAGGAGGGAGGAAGTGGAGAGGGCAGGAGAGGTGGTTGGAGGGTGGAAGAGGTGGTGAGAGGGTGAAGAGGTGGTGAGAGGTGGAAGAGGTGGTGAGAGGGAAGAGAGGTGGTTGGAGGGTGGAAGAGGTGTAGGAGGTGGAAGAGGTGGTGGAGGCAGGAGAGGTGGAGAGGGTGGAAGAGGTGGTGAGAGGGCAGGAGAGGTGGTTGGAGGGTGGAAGAGGCGGTGAGAGGGCGGGAAGAGGTGGTGAGAGGGCGGAAGAGGGTGAGAGGGCGGAAGAGGTGGTGAGAGGGCGAAGAGGTAGTAAGAGGGCAGAAGAGGTGGTGAAAGGGCAGGGGAGGTGGTGAGAGGCAGGAGAGGTAGGAGGCAGGAGGTGGTGAGAGGAGGAAGAGGTGGTGATAGGGCAGATCACCGTAAAAACTATTAGAAAACAATAAAAAAATACAAAATTAATTCATGAATTCATAAACGAAAATACATAATATATATATATATATATATATATATATATATATATATATATATATATATATATATATATATATATATATATATATATATATATATATAACTGTAATTTTAAGAAAAAAAATTCCACGGGGTTTTTTTCCTATTAATTATCGACTTCCATTAACCTGAGCTCATTGACCTTAATTGGGGTAATTATCATCAGGTCACCTTCATCCATCAAGGTTTAATTTAGTTTCGTTTCCCCCCAGAAAATAGGTTTATGTTAATGAGGTATTTTGGGGCATAATGGACACTGTTGTTTACCTGATAAGACGATGGTTTTGTTTATTTGTAAATAATAATGATAACGACAAAAAGACAAATATAATACTAATACTTCTAATAATAACAACAACAATAATAATAATAATAATAATAATAATAATAATAATAATAATAATAATAATAATAATAATAATAATAATAATAATAATATTAATAAACAAATAAGTAAATAAATAAATTACTTCCCTATTTCTAGCACAAGACTAAACCAATTAAAGTCACAACTAGATTAAAAAAATATAAACCCATTCAATTTGCCAAACCTTCCCTCCCCTGTAAAAAAATCCTCGCACTAACAAGAGCCACATCCTCCCAGCCACATCCTCCCAGCCACATCCTCCCAGCCACATCCTCCCCCTTAAAAAAATAAACAACTAAATAAAAGAGAAGAGGTGGTCCTTTTGTTTAAGTCTTTGTTTATATACAGTTACTCAAAAAAAGAATCCAAAGTTTTAAAAATGTAACTAATTAGAATCAGAATATTTTGTGATTAATCTCTATACAGTGTCATTACGTCTTTGTATAGTGAGGGAAAATTACACTTAATTACACAAGGAAGATTAATTAATTAGATGTATATTAAAGACAAACAGATTCTTACTAATTACTTGATTATATCGCTGAATTACCTTTAGAGCAGGTGAGAATGTTGTGTGTTTGTAATTATGATAAAGAGCGAATTACAATCAACAGGTAACAACACACACACCACTGGAAGGATCTGGGACAAACACCCAAATTCTTGTGACGTTACGTAAAGCTCAGGTGAATACAAGAACCTATTTAAAACAGTGAATGAAATGAAATAATCTACATTGACTCATTCATATGTTTATTCAAATCTCTCCGTTATTTCTTTCACCTGTCATGACCTCAGAACTTGTAATGAAGGTCAGCTGGGTAAATACAATAGGGATTAACGTTATTGATGCTCATTAAGAAGTCAGGGGTCAAGGCCTTTCACCTTTAATATTGCACACACCTTGTTTTCTTGTACCTCTACCTACGTACATCGATAGATAAATAGATAGAAATACCAACAACTTTAAGCTATGATGTCTATGTATGTATGTATGTATGTATTTATGTATGTGTGTATGTATGTATTTATGTATCTATGTATGTATATATGTGTCCGAGAGTGTCTTGGAGTTAAAAGAAAATGGTGTTTGCAGGACGTGGGAGAGGGTCAAAGGATTGGAAATTGCAAACTGCGTGGAAGAGAGCCAGGAAGGTAGGAAAGTATCAGGGAACGTGGGAGAAGTTCAAGGAGCGCGAGGGAGAAACTGGAGGCGTAGGAAAGTATCAGGGAGCGTGGGAGAAGGTCAAGGAGCGTGAGGGAGAAACTGGAGGCGTAGGAAAGTATCAGGGAGCGTGGGGAGTCAAGGAGCATGGGAGTCTAAGAGGCATGGGAGAGGCGTATCTAACTGTCTCACTTAAGCTACAGTCACAAAGGTGATTATCAGTATGGCGTCATTATTGCACTGAGACTCTCCTGTGGGTGGATTAAATAGTTGGCATTGCATTGTTAACGTGAGAGACATTTAGGTACGATTATCTCAGAAACCAGAATCAGGCAAATGAGTTCGACCACTTGAGAATCAGCATGCGGCAAATGATTCGGAAAATGAGTCGAAGCTTCGTTTCTGTTAATCCAGACTCAAGGACTCGAGAACTCCCGCTGAAGTGGCACTGAATTATGAAGAACCTCGACCTTGATACAGTGAATTCAGTCCTTGTGTACATAATGACTTGACTCAATTACAGTCAAGGACAAAGGAAATTAAACTTCACCAATCAAGGGAAACTCAAATGAGAAGATTTCCTGTCTGAAACCGAGTGAAACCTAAACGAGACAGTAATGTGCCATCAGTTTGGGTAGACAAGCAGTTTGGACGGAGATTCTATCCATCAGTTTGAAAGAAAAGGAGAGAGAGAGAGAGACAGACAGACAGACAGACAGGAATAGAGACCGAGCGAAACAAAGAGAGAGACAAAGTGAAAATGAAAGGCAGACAGACAAAGAAAGAGAGACAGAGAGAGAGACTGATAAACAACCACAAGCTCTCACCAGAAGATCCACCTGCCAGCCAAAATTAAGTTAAGGTCGTGGAGGGAGTCTTCCTTGGTCGCCTGGCTCAGCTTCCTCTTGTTGTGAAGTTTACTTGCCTCCATGTTTACACTCGCGTTGTTGCCACTTGGATGGTCTTATATTTTTACATTAGGTCTTACAGTGCTGCCATTTAGAGGGTCTTATATTTTTACATTTACTCTAACGGTGTTGCCATTTCGAGTCTTTTCTTTTATTGGCCTTTCGGAGATTTAGTGTAATATTAGCATTATATTTTTTTCACTTACTGTTGTACCTTCCAAGTTGATTCACTTTCAGTCTTTCTTCACTTTTTTGTATCTTTACTGCTAGTCTCATCATCATCACACTCATCATCGGCACCCTTACGGCGTGATACAATACGACACGGGTGCCGAATAATTTTAGTGGTGAACATAACATAACATAGTTTTTAGTTTAACAAATTTATTGGCAGAGCTTGTAGTACAGTTTGCCTATTCTGAGTAATTCAGTCAGGTCTTGACACTGAGGGTGGTATCACTTCTCACTGCCACGCAGGACAGGGGTTCATACACAAAGAAATACATCATATTCATTGACAGTACATACATATGTAAACACACACACACACACATATACATACATACATATACATATATATATACACATATACATGTACACCACGTGAGGCCCCTCATAACACCATCTGTGAGGGAATTACACCACGTGAGGCCCCTCATAACACCATCTGTGAGGGAACTACTACACCACGTGAGGTCCTCCTAACACCATCTGCAGGAAAGTTATTACACTACGTGTTTGCTGTTCAGCACCTACAATAATCTGTATATGTTCACTGTGTATGTCTTTTACCTTTCTAATGAAGGCTTTTGTTAAAACCACCAATGTATGTAATAAGTCAGCTTATGTCTCAATGTATATTTTCAGCCTTTCGGGCTGCAGAACTTGTCAATAAAAACCGTTAATTACATATATTTTTATGCACATATACATACACACACGCACATACATATACACGTCGGTCAGATTCATTTGGGTAATGTCACCACCGCTAAGGGCTATGATACAGAGGTTCGTACAAAGAATGCATCATATTTACGATGTGCACATATACATATATGTAAACACACACACACACAGACATATACATACATACATATACATGCACATATACATACACACACGCACACATACATACATATACACGCTGGTCAGATTCATGTGGGTAATGTCACTTTCACTGCTATACAGGACAGAGGTTCGTACACAAAGAATGCATCATATTCATTGACAGTACATATATACATATATGTAAAACACACATACACACACATATATACATACATATACATGTACATGCACATATACACACACACGCACACATACATACATATACGTCGGTCAGATTCATGCGGGTAATGTCACTTTTCACTGCCATGTATACAGGATACAGAGGTTCGTACAATGATTATTCACTGACACTATATATAGGTCAGATTCATGTGGGTAATGCCACTGTTCACTGCCATGCAGGACAGAGGTTCATACACAAAGAAATACATCATATTCATTAAACAGCTATAAATGTATAGAGGTCAGATTCATGGGTGCAATGCCACTTGTTCACCGCTATGTGACAGAGGTTCGTACACAAAGCAAAGGAAAATACATCACATTCACCAGCAGCATATATAGGTCAGTGGATCACATACATTGAGTCATATTTCTAATTGAAGACTAATCAGTGTGGGCTAGCAAATTTGGGATAAACAGCAAGAATGTCCCCTAGCACACCAGTAGGAGGAAGGAGAAGTAAGAGGCAAAGGAGGAGAGAATAGATGTAATTGATGGATAGTAACAAGGAAGAGGGGGAGGCATCCAAAGGATGGGCACCCTG